ACTGAAATTGAATTATAGAAATGAAATTAAAATAGCCAAACTGAATTTTCAATAAACCAAAATACAGTTTCAAAGCAAATTAATTCAGATACAAAACTTTAAATTCAGTTTCAATTTAGTGAAATTCATTTTCAAACCAATGCATTCATCTTCAAATTATGTACATTCAGATTCAATCTGAGCAATTCAAATTCAATTCCTGCTGGCACAAGATTTATCCCATAAACCTCACTTTGGAGGAATGGAGCTGATTGACAGGCTGGTCAATTTGACATTTGAGATTGGAGTAGCTTTAAGYTGAAAGCCATCAACGTTGATCTTTACTCCTTTTGGACTTGTCCAGTGGTTCTCAATTGTTTTCTGTCAAGGAAAACTTAATTGTCTTAGGGAACTGAAATTTTTTTCACTCTAATTTCACCCTAATTGTATTTTTCATTTATTTATCTGTTCAAACCGCTGTATGATTTTCTGGCACCATCATTCTGCTTAATCACCTGATAATGGGAGGGAAAACACTGACTGTGTAAAAGAACAGGTATTATTTTCCTTTACTTTTTATTTTTGTTTATTACGCTGCATTGAATCATGAATTTAAAATTCAAAATTGATTTACCATCAATTTAAAAAAACTTCAAAATCCYTAAGGTATTCCAATCTTTGTGGTGCTCCTTCTTCAAGGAGTTCTTCAAAAATAAAAGAATAAACTCATTGGCGCCCTCCTTGACACCTCACTGTGCCCCTCACCCAGGGYGCCATGCCTCACTGTTATAGAACCACTGGATTAGTCTGTCAATCAAGACTGAATTAAGCTTCATTTTGCCAAAATAAGGTCATTCAGTCAGATATCCACAGGTAAGATATTAACTCTTCATCACCTTTTCTCAGAATCCCCATTGTAAAAGGTCCCAATTATCCCTATAATATATAGAAAATAACACACAAGTAGTGTCAGATACAGCCACAAACTACCTGCCTGAAACACACACCCTTGCTTGGCACCTTGGCATCACTCAGCACAGCCTGTGTGTGTGCGTGCGTGCATGCGTGCGTGCGTGTGTGCGCGCGTGTGTGTGTTGTGGTGCAGGGCGATGGTGAAAATGTACACGAGTGTATTTTGTTGGGCGTGGGGGTTGTGTGGCCTTGCACGAATGCTCTCATACGTGCTTGTGTGTATCTCTGTGTGTTGTCGTCCTCCGAGCAGTCCTCCGGAAATGTGTGGGTGACTCACGAAGAGATGGAGAACCTGGCCTCGTCCACTAAAGCGGTCAGTACCAAAAGGTTTTTCACGCTCACACTGGCCCTACGGCAACACACATATGTCCAGTCCCAGAGCACCCCTCCCCCACCTTAACACCCACATATCACACACTAACACGTTGTTTGTGCCTCCGCTGTTACCCGATTACCTGGTACTGTGGTGACACGTTCTGTAATGCACGGTTCAATAATACGATCCTACCAACGCATGTTAATTTGAGGCTCGCTGTCGAGCGACGCAGGAGAAGAACTGGTGTGTGTTTCTGATTTTGTAACGTGTGTGTTTGATTACCCTCAGTTTTGCTAATCTTGTATGTTGTCTTCACCATGCTGCCGCTCAGGAGAATGAGGAGGGCAGCTGGGCACAGGTGAGACCGCTCATTTCTATTCATGCACAAGAACACATTTAAATAAAACCCACCTTACGTTTAAACTTTAATATTTTAAATTTTTTATACTGCCCATCATAAAACTAGACCAGGAAATACTGTAACTTGGAGGGGTGGCTGGATTGTTTAAAGATTAACAAGATTACAAGTATAAGAGTTAATATTGTCCCCCATAAAGTGTTGTGTACAAGGTTTTGTATGAGAAAATGTTGCACATGTTGAGTTAAAGTTTTTGGCATCAGCTAAATTTAGCATCAATAATAGTATCACAAGTTTAAAGGGTATTTCTTTGAAAAATGATAGTCTTTTTTTCTGCCTAAAATGGTTTGATTTTCACAAACTAGCTCCCCCTTTTTATGTACAATTTACACAGTTGCTGAAAACTATTTTATGATAGAAAGAGATGAAAAGAAAATGATTCTTGAGTCTTAAAGCAACACCTCAGATTTTAATTTTTTTATTTATTTTTTGTAACAAATCCCTATGGAAATTAAAAATTCACAATATGATATAGCCACAAAAAACTAACTATATTTAAATGCAACAAACAGCTCGGTTTCCTGCTGAGTTTCCCACTTGGTTTCAGAGGAATAGACCCTGAGAGTCAAAACACCTCAAGGATTTGAATGAGTTATATCTGCATTAAATGTATTGTGGCATTACAGAAGCAAATTGTAGCCAAAAAAAGGCTCAAATCATATTAAGTTATGACATGAAAAGTTTATACGTTGAATATTTCTTGTTCTTACATTATATTTTTTACATCCTGACAAAATGTTTTCACTTGTTACAAAATGAAGACTTGTCACATTAAAATAAAAAGCGTTCATGTCAGAATGTAATTTATACTTTGTAAAAATGTTTAAACCTAAAGTTATAAAATGATAAGGACATKTTGTAATAATGTAAAAAGATGTTAAATTGTGAAAAATGTTGTAAAAACATAAAAATGCAATGTTATGATTTGAAAAATGTTTGAACAAAAAAATTTTCATGTTATGGTTTTCTCATATTTTCTCTGGGGTAGCAGTCATACACGTCTGTATGGAGTCATTTCTGTTGTTTAGTTACCATCTGGTTTTTTTCTACACTTATTCCTGAATATAAGCAATTTATTTGTCTCTTTAATCCTACACAATGACAATAAAATCTTTATCATTTAACTTACACATAATTTTGACCATCTCAAACTTGTCTGACAGTTTTTTTTTTTGTCGACTTTAATGTGTTTGACGCATTTATGTTCCCTTTAGACCTTGGCATATGGAGACATGAATCATGAGTGGATAGGGAATGAGTGGCTACCCAGCCTCGGCCTGCCTCAGTACCGTTCCTACTTCATGGAGTGTCTGGTTGACGCACGCATGCTGGACCACCTGACCAAGAAGGACCTGAGAAGCCACCTCAAGATGGTGGACAGCTTTCATAGGTCTGCAGCTTTCACAGCTCAGCTGGTCTTTGACGCACGAGCCCTGGCGAAAACAGAACTATTGATGAATTTTTGCCTTTTTGTGTGTGTGTGTGTGTGTGTGTGTGTGTGTGTGTGTGTGTGTGTGTGTGTGNTGTGTGTGTGTGTGTGTGTGTGTGTGTGTGTGTGTGTGTGTGTGTGTGTGTGTGTGTGTGACTGTGTTGTGTTTGTGTGTGTACCAGGGCTAGTCTGCAGTACGGGATTATGTGCTTGAAAAGACTCAATTATGACAGGAAAGAGCTGGATCGCAGGAGGGAAGACAGCCAACACAATATGAAAGGTACCTTTTTATACATAGAGTGACACAACAACAAACAAACACCACATACATGTTGCTGTCCTGTCAGTCTCATCGGTCCAGAGTACCATCTAGTGGTTTTATGTGATACTGTCCATTTGTACTTGACACTGGAACAGGTGCTTTTCTGACTGACAAAAACCACTCTCATGATCTAAAACCCCTCTCGCATGCGGAGTGGTCCACACACACGCTGCCACGCACGTTTACATCTAGCCAAACCTCTCGCCCTTTTGACCTTGAGCTCAGCACATGAACTTGACTCAGCTGTCGTGTCAAATCAGGATCCTGGCCTGTTTACACACTCATAAACACACACGCATTGCACACACTCGGCCTGTTCCAACTTGGAAAGCTGGCTGACAGCTGTGCTTAAAGTGAACAAAGGGAGTGTGCAGGAAAGTTGACACCATGTGGACACGCACATTACCTCTCTATCTATTCCTTGCCGACTCACTTATGCTATTCGCRGTTCATACTGTACAATGGGGTTGATTGTTTTTAAAAGCACTGAATCAATGAGTTATGGATCGAAAAAGTAATTTGTGGTTATTTCTTTTAGATGTTTTGGTGTGGACCAATGAGCAAGTGATCCACTGGGCCCAGTCCATTGGCCTGAGGGAGTACAGCGGCAACCTGTTAGAAAGTGGCGTCCACGGAGCGCTCGTCTCTTTGGATGAGACCTTCGACTACAGCAGCCTGGCGCTCATCCTGCAGATCCCCATGCAGAACACACAGGTAGTTATGGACTCACAGCTGTGGACACTCATCATCAAATGACTGAAGTGATTCAAGTGGTGGGCAGTTCAGGTTCCTCTGGTGCACGTCGCTTCAGCTTGTGTGACATTTAATGAGCTATTAAATATGAAATGCGTATAGCGGCAACTGAAGAAGCAAACTAACTAAAACCAGTACGGTTCATTGGTAAATCTAGGATCAGTTCATATTCACTCAGTCTGCTGACATTTTAAATGAGTGGTTTACAAACTAACTAGCATTTGTGTGTTTAAATTAAAACTTTTACGGTGTCCTCCTAACATGTGCTGTTTTGTTCAAAGGCACGGCAGGTTCTAGAGAGGGAGTTTAACAACCTGTTAGCCTTGGGAACAGACCGCCGACTGGAAGAGGTGACTGTTATTGTCAGTAGAAAATTACGCTTTCAATCAAAACAAAAAGAACAGCATGACAGCATTTCCTGTCGGCTCCACAGAGTGGCGATGACAAAACGTTTCGACGCTCTCCGTCGTGGCGCAAGAGGTTTCGGGCTCGTGAGGGAGGGTCGGGTTTAGGAATGATGGCAGGTTCCATGGAGACGCTCCCCGCTGGCTTCCGCATGCCGTCCATGTCCATGCCACCCTCTATGAATTTGGCGCCAAGGAAACAGCTCCAGCCTGAAGGTTTGTTACGGCGTTCTAGTTTAAGCATGTATTTTTCTGTAAGTAGCTTTTTCAGGCCCTGTTGACTAACTAACTGCATCCTCTCTGCTGTGCCACATCCTCTGAAGCTCCTCCCCCAGCGCCCCCGAGACTCGACCCCTCGGCTGTGCGGACCTATTCCTGCTAACTGCACTCTGCTTACTAACAGTAGCGCTAATGCTAACAGGTAAGCTAACAAACAATGCCTGAAAATGGCTGGATGCTGGGCTCTCAACTAGCAATGGCTTTACTGTGACAAATAAATCAGGAGCTCAGAGGGGGGATTTTTGGGAACCTGCCCCCCACAGAGATCTGAAGCAAAATGTGCACACTACAACACGGCTGCGGTCAATAGTTGTTCTGCACTTGCGCAAGTAAAAGAACACAGAGTTGTAAAGAAACTAAGTAAAAATACTTTTTTATTCTACTTAAGTATAATTTTTGGGTATCTGTACTTTATTTGAGTAATTATTTTTCAACCCACTTTTTACTACTACTTCTTACATTTTCACACAATTATCTGTACTTTCTACTCCCTACATTTTTAAAAAAAAGGCAAGAAGTAGAAAGTTGTTACTTTTATTTCATTTTTGCTTGTTTTCATCCCAGCTGCTTCTTGTAAAAAATAAAAACTATCCATAAAAATTGTGCCTCCTAGATGGAGCGAATTTAATTGTGGTTGAATGAGAAGTATAGATATGTAAAATTCTGATACCATATTAGTTTGTACACAAACAAATCATGTCACACTCCAGCAGGACATAATCATTAAAATAAAAGGACTGTACTTAAGAAGTATTTGTGTTTCATGAATTATTTTATTGTATTTGGCCGCAGCCCTCAGATAGATTTTCATTTTAGGGAAAAGGTTTGTGCAGTCTTTTATGTATATAAACTGAAACAACTAGACAAGTACATCCTAAATTTAATATAAATT